CGATCTTGCAGGATCCTGCAGGGCCGGGATCACACTGACCCGGGCTTGGGTGCAGGATCCTGTAGGGCCAGGGTCCCACTGACCCGGGCTCGGGTGCAGGATCCTGCAGGATTTTTCAGGATCCTCCGCATTGACCCGGGTTTGGGTGCAGGATCTTGCAGGACTCTGCAAGGCCTGACTGACCCGGGTCTGGATTGACGGGTCAGAAGATCCCCGACGGGAGGGCAGGAGGCCAGGAGGAGGGTCCTTCCAGCAGTGGCGAAGCGTCTTGGAGTGATAACTAGGGGGGTGGATATCATGGCGTAGGCTATGATATTTCCTCAGATTTCATGGCGCCTCTTCTTATTCCAATACGTCCCTGGCAGCCCCCTGAGCCGCGGCGGCCAGGGTTTGCGGTCCCCCCTCTTGGACGCCCCCCTCTTGGTCGCCCCCGACAAAGAGTGTTCTAAGAATTGTTTGTGGTTTGCACGGAGTGTTCTGAGAGTATTTCTGGCTGGGACTGTCCTGTTTTAGCACATCGGGCTTGTGCTCTAAGAAAACTGCTTTTGTTATTAGAGCACCTTTGGGTTCTAAGAACATGTCGTGGTAGGCCTATAAGAATGCCGGGACGGTCGGTCCCTGCTCGAGTCCTGGCTTTACGTCGGGCGTGTCCCTCACAGGAGGAACAGGTGTCGGAAACAATTAAGCAACACTCATGCAGAAGATATGGCTTGAATTTTCCCCCTTTCCCCCCCAAAATGCAATATTGGTGTCTCATCTTCCGAGTTTGGGCCTCTGGGTGGTCTTCAAGGAACGTGCCAACTTTGAATTGCGGGGGGGGGAGTGTTGCTTAATTCCTTCCCTCAACCGCGTGGTCAAGAACGGTTAGAAATATGTCTGGTGGCGATGTGTCGTGCTCTTTTGACTATTTCGGGTTCTTCTCTGCCTCTTCTTTCTTCCAAGATCCGCCTGTAGGAGGACATGCCCGACCTCGACCTAATCCTGGCTCAGGGGGGAGGGGGGGGGGAGGTGGGGAGGGAGGAAGCCCTGAGATCCAGGCGTCACAGGCTGTTCACACAGGGCGTTTTCGCCCTGTTTCGTCCCCGGGACCATCACAGATCGATACGGCTCGGAAAATGCCGCATAAGGATGGGGTCTAGCAACACACCGTCAAAAGGCCTCCCATTAAATTTGTGGTTATCGCGCAGCTCCTGCTGGATTTGGAGGTGGAGCGTGGGACGGAAGGGGTGAGGGAGGAGGCAAGAAGAAGAAGAAGAAGAACGGACGGAGGGAGGAAGTGAGGACGGAGGAGCACGGCAGACGGAGAACGCAGGACGGAGGAAGAGGAGGAGGAGAAGGAGGAGGAGGATGAGGAGGAGGAGAAGGAGGAAGAGGAAGAGGAGGAGGAGAAGGAGGAGGAGGAAGACGCAGACAAGGACAATAATGAGGACGGCAGGGAGGGAGGGAGGGAGGGAGGGGTTCAGGGAGTGTCACTACATTCTGTGTTCAGGTTCTACTACTAGTGGCACTGTCACGACTTCGTTGATTGCTTCATTACTTCGACCCGTAATGCGATCTCTGTTGTTATTACTACATTCGCCACTATTCTGATTTGCACGATCACCATCGATACCATCACCACCAACAACAACAACAACACCAACACAAACACAAACACAAACACCACCACCACAATCAACACCACCACCACCACCACCACCACCACCACCACCACCACCACCACCACCACCACCACCACCTTCTCTGCTGCGCGGCGTTCCGTGCGCCTGAGTCCTTCGCGGACTGCAACGCCGGGTGCATTGAGATCCCGGGCTTCGACAAGAACGATTCGTTCAACGCTCGGGAGCGTCCGGCTGGCATGGTTCCCCCATGTTGTTTCGTAACGTTTCTTGTGTCATTGTTTTTTTCCTTCGCTTCCTCCTCCTTCTCTCCCCGATGTTTCCGCTGCTTCTCTTTCTGCTCCTGCTCCTGCTCCTCCACACCCGTCTCGTTCTCGTGATCCTGATCCTTCCTCATCCGCCTTTCGTCCCATTTTTCCAGGGGCGTCCTCGTCTGGACTATTCGGGCTCGATGGCACGTGTGAGCTTCTTTTATGCGGAGACCAGTCTGGGGGGGGAGGAGGAGGAGGAGGAGGAGGAGGAGGAAGAGGGAAGAGGAGGAGGAGGAGGAGGAGGAGAAGGAGGAGGAGGAGGAGGAGGAGGAGGAGGAGGAGGAGGTGTCCTCTTTCCACCTCCGCCACCGCTCGCCCGCGCGCTCGCAACCTGAAGGCGCTGCTGTGCCAGCACAGACGCAATACTGCGGTGGGAGACGGCAAAGAGAAAGAGAAAGCGTATATGGGGGATGCGTTCCCCATGTCCAGAGGGAAACCGATCAGCGAAAAACCACCCAACCCCCACACACGTCCCGAAGCCTCCACCATCCCCGGAGGGCCAAGCGATGTCTAAGGGATAGGGATCTGGGATTAGTGGGGGCCGCTGGTTTTTGCTGGCGTTGTTTTAAAAAAAAAAAAAAAAAAAAAAAGATAATAAGTTAAAAATATAAATAATAAATTAAAACCATCAATTTTAAAAAAAATCCATTCTATGAGACCCGAAAAACCACCAAACCGCAACCCAGTTCCAGACCCCACGGGAGCGCGCCAAGTTCGGGGATGGGATCGGGACTCGAGGTGAAGGTGGTTCATCGCACATTCTTACAAACCCTAGCCCTTCAGCTCCGCACTACCGTGCCCTCCAGGTACACCCCTCCGCCCGTGATCCGTCGTGCCAGGCTCTGGTCTCGCGCTCGTCATGAGCTGTCATGCTGCCAATTCTGGCCCCTGTCCAGGGTTAGGGGGCCCCTCTCTCGGCTTGTCGGCTGGCTGAGCTGAACTGCTCAGGTGCAGCGAAGAAGCCCAGCTTCGTGGCCAGGCGCATGAGAACAGATGATTGGTATAGAGCTGTGCAGCTCAAATTGGAAAGGAAGTGTGTTGGAAACAGAGAAGCGCGGCACCAATGAGGAAACGAGAAGGGCGTCCATCATGGCAAGTCATGAAGAAGATGATATTTGCACGGCCGCCTAAAGGAGCCAAGGGAAACCATATCACGTGCACAGCAGGAGCGACAGGTTCCCCGAACGTGGCAAGCCACCCGCTCCTCTTATTGGGGTAATTATGGCCAAGGCGCTGAAATAAGGACCACTTGGCATCGCTCGGGCGTGTGCATGTTTCCTCGGCGAGGAACATCGAGGGGCATCGAGGATCATCGAGCAATAAAAAAAGAAGACGCACGAAACCGAAACATGCACGGGGAAGGTGATCGTTTTTTATTCATTCTTTCGCCGACCGGCGCGCGCCGTCGCACCCACCCCCCCATGGAGTAGATTTTGGCTGTTTTTTTGGCGCCTGTTTCGAGCAGGGGTAGCGTCCCCCATAGGACGCGCTCGTGCAAACAAGTCGCACTAAGCAGAGGTCTGGAGCCAGACCCCCCCATCTCCCCCCCTTTCCGCCCAATGTCGAAACGCCAATTAAAAAAACGACCACGAAGGGACGTCCGAGCGATGGCGGGACCACTCCGGGGCTCTGGAGGGGCTCGGGAGTGCGGGCCGTTCTCTCTAGCCAAGCGAGGAGAAACCACCCGGACCCGATACTTGACGTTTCCGAAACGGCCCTGGGCGCTTATTAAACAGCCCTGCCCTGGTGATCGTTTTTTATGTATTGTTTTGCCGATCGGCGCGGGCCCTCGCCCCCCTCCCCCCTCCCCCCCATGGAGTAGATCTTGGCCGTTTTTGTTTGCGCCTGTTTCGAGCTGGTGGAGCCTTCCCCCGGTGGACGCACGGTCCCGAGCAGTCGCGCTCAGCAGAGGTCCAGAGCCAGAACCCCCCGTCCCCCCCCCTTCCGCCCAATGTCGAAGCGCCGAATAAATTATTCACTGCGTGGAGCTCCCCATATGTGCATCTACTCGCATGGACCTGTCCGCCGTGAATGTCTAGGCGCAAGAGCTTTCGAATATTAACGGGCTTCAGTTGTGACACGAGTCTCTGCGACCATCAATCTAAGTGCGACATGAATGTGGGTGGGAAATGAGCCCCTCAGTAGTACGATGCGCGTCTCTGTGCATGAGCCTGGGCCTCCTGGGGCCTCCTGAAACCTACTGGGGCTTCCTGGGGTCTCCAGGAGCCTCTTGGGACCTCCTGGGACCTCCTAGGAAGGTTTCGTGCCCCAGGAGAGGCGCAATCTATAGCAACAGACGTACAGAAAACATTGCGGATTAGAGCCACAGGAGAAGGGCAATCTATAGGAACACGCGTAAAACACCAAGGACTCGTGCCCCAGGAGAGGCCCAATATATAGGAACATGAGTAAAACATTTAGGATTGTGTACACAGGAGAAGGACCATCTGTAGAGAAACATCGTATTGTAACACTTCAAACGAGAATCGTGCTCCAGGTGAGGCCCAATCTATAGGAGCATACGTAAAACACATGGGATTGGAGCCACTCCTGTTGCCTTCTGAGGCCTCCTGCTCCTGGGGCCTCTCGGGGCCTCCTGTTGCCTTCCGAAGCCTCCTGGCGCTTCCTGTTGCCTCCTGGGGCCTCCTGTGGTTTCCTGAGGCCTTCTGGAGCTTCCTGGGGCCTCCTGGAGCCTCTTGGGACATCCTGTGGCCTCTTGAGTCTTTCTGTGGCCTCCTGATGCCTCCTGGGACCTCATGTGGTCTTCTGGGGCCTCCTGGAGCCTGTTGGAGCCTCCTGTGGCATCCTGAGAAGAATCTGCGCCCACGAGCACCTCCCCCGGCACAACACAAAAACACGCAAAACCGATCGAGACATCCTCAAATCCCTGGCCACACCAGGGGTCGTGGAAACATGAGGAGGCGCTCGAGACATTCCTCCAAATCTGCCACCGACACCAAGCGAAGGATGTGAGCCCAGAAACAAGCAAACCCGCCTCGAACATCCCCCACACTTAACATGGCCGCGAACGAGCCCGTGCAAACACCCCTGGCGGCCCCCCTTACGGGTGCTGAAACCAGCGCCCCGCCAGAGACATCCTCACAATCTGCTCTCCAAGCGAAGGATGTTGAGCCCAGAAACAAGCAAACCGCCTGAGACATCCCCACAAAATGGCCGCGAACGAGCCCGTGCAACCACCCCTGGCGGCTCCCCTTAGGGGTGCTGAAACCAGCGCCCCGCTTGAGACATCCTCCAAATCTGATGTTTGTTGAGTAAGTCTGAGTATGAGTAGGTCTGAGTATGAGTAAGCCTGAGTATGAGTAAGTCTGTGTATGAGTAAGTCTGTGTATGAGTAAGTCTGGGTATGAGTAGGTCTGTGTATGAGAAAGTCTGTGTATGTGTACGTCTGGCTATGAGTAAGTCTGAGTATGAGTAATACTGTGTATGAGTAAGTCTGGTATGAGTAAGTCTGTGTATGAGTACGTCTGGGTGTGAGTAAGTCTGTGTATGAGTAAGTCTGTGTATGAGTATGTCTGAGTGTGAGTAAGTCTGAGTATGAGTAGGTCTGAGTATGAGTAAGTCTGAGTATGAGTAAGTCTGAGTATGAGGAGGGGAGGAGGAAAGAGGAGGAGGAAGAGGCAGTAGGAGGCGTCCAAGTAATAACAAGAACCCCATCTTAGGATATGGGGAAAAACGCTCACCTGTTCGATTCCTTCTTTGGGTGCGTTTACGAAACGACCTCGCTTGTCGGAGTGGTCATGATGGGAGTCGATGTTTTGCCCTCTATTCAGATCCAGGTCGTGAAGCCTGCTCGAAGCCGATGCCAGCCCCGGCCGCCGAGAGAGCCCCCCACTCGCGCCTTCGTCCGCGCTCCCTGCGTCCTGGCAGGACGGCCGGCGCCACTCCGCGCGCAGGCGCCACGAGGGGCCGCGCGGAGCCTCCCGTCGCATGTCGCTCAGCAGCAGCTGTGTCATCCCGACATCCGGCGGCGAGCAACGGGGGGGAGGTGAGAAGGAGAAGGCCTTCTCGGAGGGCGGCGGGACTTCTCAGAAGCCCTCGCGCCTTCTTGGAAGCTGTTGTTGTGTTCGGGAAGGCTCAGAAAACTGCTCAGAAGGCCGGGGGACTTCCGAGCCTTCTGAGAAGGCCTTCTCTTTCTCATTTCCTCTCCTCGCTCGCCGCCGAGACATGGAGCGCAAGCTCAGTTGCCATTTTGTCGAACGGTGGGCGTCCCTGCGAAGCTTCTGGTCGCTGGGTGCGTCCGCTGCGTTTGGGGACGAGCTCGAGCTACCACAATCGGGCAAGCGGGCGCCACACAGCTGGCGTGCCCTGCCGGCAAGGACGCCGCCCAGAACAGGCCGTGGAGTCGGACATTGTGGAGCGCGTCCGACGCAAGTGTCCGCGCCCCGAAGCGCCGCCCTTGTGCAGTCCTAGCGTAAAGCCAGATGAACATGTTTATTGAATCGCTTCGCTCATTCCGCCGGCCCGTGATATGGCATCGCTGGTTTTTGTCTGTGTGTTCGTTGCCCATGTTGCGCTCTTGGGGGCGGGTGTCGTTCGGACGCGTTGCGTGGGGAGTTTTGATGGTGAAGCAGTTCCCTGGGGGTCGTCTCTCGATGGGGCGAAATAGAGTCGTCGTCAAGATGCTTCTTTGGGGGGCCTCTTGGGGTCTGTTGAGAGGCCGTTCGGGGGCGCCTGGGAGACATGTTTGAAGCCTTCTGGGGCTTCTTTTGGGCCTCCTGGGAGTCTCCTGGGGCCTCTTGGCGACATCTTGGGGCCTCTTGGAGGCCTCTTGGGGCCTCTTTGGGACCTCCTGGGCGCCTTCTGGACGGAGGGCTCCATTTTTGAGTTCTCGGTATCCCTCCTGAGTCCCTCTTGGGCCCGTCTTGGGGCCTCTTGGTCCGTTCTTGGGCGGCACTTGGGCCGTCTTGAGGGCTCTCTTGGGTCGTTTCGGCGCCGTCTTGGGAGCTTCGTGGGCCGTCTTGGAGCGGTCTTGGGGGCCTCTTGGGCCGTCTTGGAGCGTCCGGAAGCCGAAAAAGCCAGAACACAAAAAACATCGAAAAAACCAATGAAAATCAACGATTTTGGCCTCTTGGGGCTCTCTTCGGAGGCCTCTTGGAAGGCTCTTGGGGCGTCTTGGAGGCCTCTTGGGCTGTCTTGGGGGCCTTTTGGGCCGTCTTGGGGTCATCTTCGGCGTCTTCGAGCGCTCTTTGGGCGTCTCGGGGGCCTCTTGGGCAGTCTTGGGGGCCTCTTGGGGCACTCTGAGCGCGCTCTGGGGAGCCTGAGAGGCCGCACCCAGAAGGAAAACCATCTCTGAGTAGACTTGGTCGGGCGGCGGTCGGGCGGCGTCGGGCGGCGACCGGGCGTTGGTCGGGGTACTTTTCGCCGGGGGACCCCCAGGGGCCGCCCCGCGCGCGCGAACTAGAAATACTGTTAATACTGTTAACCAGTTACCGGAGATCTTAGCACGCCCTGGCCCGTTGGGCCGGCGAATTTGCGAACTCCTCCCCCTCCTCCTCCGCCTCCTCCCCCTCCTCATCCTCCGCCTCCTCCACCTCCTCCCCCTTCTCCTCCTCCCCCTTCCATTCTTGACGCTTCGCGTATCCCCCACCAGCCTTCTCGGACTCTGGGTCGCAGGTGTGCTCCCGTGCATGACTTGCCACATTTTGGCAGCGGTTGGCCCAGGCCGTGCCCACACCTGTGGCTAGTGGTGCACCGCTCGCCGCAAGGATCCGTGCGCACTGACGTCACCCCATCGTCGCTCCCACGCTCAACCTTGTTGAGCGGTCACTTCCTGGGCTTCTTCGTGACTACGGACGGTTGCTTGTGCTGCAGCGGGTATGCGTCAGCGCAGCTTTCTCAGAGCGCTATTTCCACTCTTTCTGGTCCGCCAGGGTATCCTGGAGAGCTGCTCTTTGTTATGTCACTTAGTTGCTTCCTGGTACACGCCCTGTCATCTTCGGTTGGCCCTCGTGTCTCGCGCCGAGGTCGGGAACAGGTGTACCTTCCGCACTGCGTCACATCATGTCGTTGATCTTTCGCGTGCGAACGCATCCTTCCGCAGTTGTTTTGAGGGTCGACGTGCATCGGTTGGTCACTGACTTCAGTCGTGCTTTTACAGCCGCGTTGGTGCTTACTCTGAAGCTGCGACGGTTCGCTGGCGCCGTCAGAGTCTTTTCTTCCTGCAGGATGCCTGCATCAGCTCTCTCGCCTACGGTCTCGCTCTTACCCGGCAGACACCCTGGGCTCTCTGACACTCTTTTGCACGGAGTCTCCCCCACTGCCCTGTGGTCGTCGGACCGGACACGACCCTTGACTGGGGGTGTGCATCGCGCCATTTTGGCAGCGTAATTCCTGCTCCCTAGGTGCCAGTCTCCCCTCAGACTCCCTGGGCTGCAGCTTGCACCGCCGCCTAAAAATGATAATTAAAAAAACGTATCCCCACCAGCCCATCCAGAAACGATGCCCCTGAGATCTTGGGCCATCTTGGAGCCATCTTGAGGCCCTGGAAGGCCATCGAAATCTAAATGGCGAGAAGGTCAATTTCATTAATTTTCGGTATGTTTTGGAAGGATTTGGGCATCTCGGCGGCCTCCTGGGGAGGCTCCGTGGCCAGCTTGAGCCGTCTTGGAGCGGTCGTGGGGCATCTTGGGACCATTTTGAGCCAGCTTGGACTATAGTGAGCAATTTTTGGAGGTCATCTTGGGCTGTCTGAGGCCGCTTGGCGGCCATTCGCGGGCCTCTTGGGGGCCTCTCGGGGGCCTCTCGGGGGCCTCTTCGAGCCCTCTTGGGGCCTCTCGGGGCGCACGATCCTCGTGAGGAGTGGCACGATCCTCGTGAGGAGTGGCAGAAAATGGCCCTCCAAGTGGCCGAAAAAGGAGCCTCCGACACATCGCGGAACCTCCCAAAAAGCCTCAGGGAGGGGAGGGGGAGGGCTCCCCTCCCCGAAGGGCAGAGGGGTTGTGGAAGAGGAAACAGACCCTCGTTAGACCATTTGTCGCCCAGAGGGCTGGTGGGACTCCTCCTCCTCCTCCTCCTCCTCCTCCTCCTCCTCCTCCTCCTCCTCACCTCGAGAGCGGATAAGAGACAGAGTACCGTGTCACCTCCATCGGTCGTGGACCCATGGCCTCTTGGATGCATCCCAGGGCCTCTTTGGATGCCTCTTGGAGGGGGGTCTCTGGGGGGCCTCTCGGAGGGGCCTGCGGGCGGTCTCGCGGGGGGCCTCTTGGGCATCTCGGGGCGGAGGGCTCAGAATGTCAGCTCGTGCTCCCCCTCTTGGGGGGCCTCTTGGGTTGCTCTGGGTGGCCTCTTGCGCCGTCTTGGGGCCATCCTGGCCTGCTTCGGGGGGGGGGCTCCTGGGGCGATCTTCTGGGCATCTTGGGCCGTCTCGGGGCTCTTTGGGTTATCTTGGGAAGATCTTGGGAGTCTCTTGGGCCGCCTTGGGGCGTTGGAAGACCGCACAAGCGAGAACGCTGACATAATTCAACACTTTCTCGGGGCAGCCCGAATGTCACCCGAACGGGGAAGGGGGGGGGGCACACTGTGACCCAGGACACCCTCCTCCGCAGGGAAGGGATCAAAGGAAAGGGGTTTTCCCTTCGACTCGATTGCGACTTGGCTCGCATCGCCTCGGGATGGCGAGCTCGGAGATCCCAAGGAGGGCCGCCAAAAAGGGAGGAAACATGCCGACCCAAAGAGGGTCTCCCAGGACCAACCCCAGACTACCGGCCCAGAACCCCCCCTCACACACAACGACAGGGTTGGCGAATTTGTCTCACTTGAGTTTCTCAATTGCCCGTATATTCCCTTGATGGCGGGGTAGTTTTCAAACGGTTGTCATCGGTTGAGGCCAAGTCGCTTGCTAATTACAGCCCTGTAGTTTTCAAAATACGGTTGGTGCCAGATGTTTGCCCGAGAAGGAGGAATAGGAGGAGAGGGAAGTGCAATAAAGCAGCGTTATCGCCTCTGAGCTCCCTCACGAGCGCAGCATTCTTAGTCTGGTGGCTCGCTGTCTTTCATGTGAGTGAGCGTTTAGGTCTGACGGATCGCTTTGCTTATTGGCCAGAAGCCGACTCATTGCGTGGTAAAGCTATGACGCCAGCGAGTACACAATATTGGATTCTTTCGATTGTCGGCGCCGGGGTATTAGCCAGACTTGTGAGTGCTGCCTCGACTGTCCAATGGAAACCAGACGGATTCATGGATGCATCCTCGTCGCCGCCACCAAAATACGGTTGAGGAACGAATTAAGCAACACTCCCCCCTCCCCCCGCAATTCAAAGTTGGCACGTATACGCATCACTGGTCCAACACTCAAACTCGGGAGATCCGAGCCCAACATTGCATTCGGGGGGAGGGGGGGATATCCGTCATCTTCATCATCATACTGACCGTCCTTGCTCGAGTCAACATGGCCCGAGCAGATACCCTGCAGTCCCTCGCCATGGCTCGCATACCAACTCGGCGATCTTGCGCGCGACTCCTGCTCTGTGGGCTCCTTCACGGACGGGCGGCGGGCGCTGCGGCGGCCGCGCCAGGAGCTTGCAGCGCCCATGCGCACCCGCTCGCCAGGCCCACCCCTGCCGCCGCCTGGCACGGCGAGGATGTGATGCTGCAGGCTGCGAGGGAGGAAGTCGGGGGTGGACCGACCTCCTACCCTGACACGTCGATTCGTGAATTGGCCGCTTTCGGTTCGCGACAGGGCGTCGCGGCCGTCATTTTTGCGGGTCCAGGTCCGTCGGTTTCGGTCCCAGGCCGTTTTCAGTAAGGAGAGGTTTACTAAAGGGAGGTTTGTCCACCGCCGAGAAAGAGCGGCATAAACCTAAACTATTGGCGCTCGGCGCGGAGCGCCAAAAGTTTATGCTTACAGTGGAGACCCGTGCCAAGAAACACCCTGCTTGCCTCTAGGGTGCCCTGGGTTTCTTGGGTTTCGACGGTTGTGCTGCGGGAAGCGTGACGTTCCCACACCAGGAATCAATGGACGCCCTGGGGTCTCAGGCCTTGGTTTCTTGTGGGAGGTTTCTTGTGGTCGAGCCCCTACTGTGCACCGCTTCCCTTCCGTCGAAGGTTACGCACGAGGTCGAGCTCGTGCCTCGCACCGCGGGCGAGCCCCTCGACGCCCGGGGGATCCTCGGCGCAGCGGGGCGCAAGGGGCCAGCGGCAGGCTCCGGCCACGGCGGGCCGGCGGCTGCCGGCGCGCACGGCGCGGCCCCGGCAGGCCCGGGCCCGGGTGGCCGCAGGGGATCGCAGGGAAGGAAACGCGCCAGGAAGCGAAACTTTTGGCGCTCCGCGCGGACTTCTTGGATCCGCGCTGGGCCCTCCCCCGGCGGCGCCTCCGGCGCCGCCCCCGGCGCGCTCCGCGCGCCGGGGAGGGGGGTCCAGAGCAGATCCAAGAAATCCACGCGGAGCGCCAAAAAAGTTTATGTTCATGGCGCTTTTTCTTCCTCTACGGAAGCTGCCGCCGGGCTGGCCGGGGACCCCCCGCGTGGGCTCCCGGACTCGCCAGCAGAGACGCTGGTCGCCTTGGGCCACGCGCTGGCCATCGGAGGAGGAAAAGGTACAGTCAACACGCATAGTAAGGATGGGCAACCTTCCCAAGGGGACCCTTGCATCCTTGCCTCCTCGGCCCATCCTTGGCCACTTTCGTTGGCCGCGCCCCGCTCGAAGAGCTTCGAAATGGGCGTCCAAGGCCCTTGCATCCTTATCGCGCATCCTTACTGTACGGGTTGACTGTACCCAATACCGCTACCCTGCCCTCGCTTTCGCCTTGGTCAGAACGCACCCTGGGAGAGGTCCGGAGAGCAGCGGTATCGGTGCCTTTTGCGGTCTCCCCAGGCCATGGGAGCAGTCTACGCCCTGCTGCATGCCCTGGGGCCCGACCACCTGGGCACCCTCATGACGCTGAGCGCGGCAGCTGGCAGCCCCGCGCGCGCCTTCAGAGCCGGCGCGGCCTGGGGGGCCGGCCACTGCTTGGGTATGGTCGTGCTGGTCGCTGCGTTCGCGTGGCTGGGCCGCGCCGCGCGCGGGCGCCTGGCCGCCTGGGAGCACTACGGGGACTACCTGATAGGCGCCTCGATGGTGGCCTGCGCCGCGTACTTCGTGGCCAGGGAGTCCGCGCACGTTCAGCAGGAGCCGCCGTGAAGCCAACGGGTCCTGAGGGAAACGGCCCTTAGGTTTTCTGCCGTTTGGGGCTTCCCGGGGCCCTCCACGGGCCCCGGGGTTGCCCAAAGACGTTTCAGGACGAAGGGTTGGTCCTGGAGGCAGCCTTGGGGATCCAGGACCCGCGTCCTGCGGGACACGCCTCCTCCATGCCACAGGATCCGTGGACGATCTGTGTGCACAGTACCGCGTTGGTGCCTCCCGAGGCGACGTCGGCTCTCTGCCTGGGAATGCTACGGTGCACAGCTCTTCGGCCCCCGGAGCCAAACAACGGTGCACCGTTCCCCCGTTGAGGCGGGGCCTGATGGAGGAGGAGGAGGAGGAGGAGGAGGAGGAGGAGGAGGAGGAGGAGGAGGAGGAGGAGGAGGAGGAGGAGGAGGAGGAGGAGGAGGAGCGGGGGAGTCCAAACATGGCACGATGTATGCGCGCCGTCCTCGCAGAGGAGGCAGACGGCACCGAGGTGCTCCGCGGCTGCTCCTGCCACGGCCCCCGCGGCCACCCCGCCGAGACGCCCGCCCTGCCGCCGGGCGCGCCCGCGCACGCCGCCTGCCTGCTGGACCTGCCGGTGAGCGCCGCCGCCTACAGCCGCGCCCCGAGGCGGCAGCGCGGCGGGAGGCCGAGGTCGCTGCGTGGTACCCTGCCCCGAATCGAGCCCTGAGATCCTGGCGTTGCAGTTTTTTTTCGCAACGGGCATTTTCGCTCGATGTCGGGCCCCGGGATTCACAGATCGATCCGGCACGAAAAATGACGCAGAAAGATGGGGCCCCGGGGTCCGGGCGGGATTTGTTGCGATGCTGCATGGTATTCGAAGGATACAAAATGGCATAGGCATAATTTTTTGGCGCTCCGCGCGGAGCACCAAAAGTTTATGTTTATGCCGCTTCCTCTTCTTCTACAAGTCGCGTCACAATTAACTCAGCCCGGCGGCGGCTTTTCCAAAGTTGAGAGGCGCATCTGCCGCCCCCCCGTCCCCTTCAAGGTTGAGCAACGAAAAAAGCCCGCCCCCCTCCAAAGTTGAGAGGCAGTTGGAACACTCGCGCGAGTCGCAGGCGATCATGCTCTCGGTGTCAACTTTGAAGGGGAGGGGGGGGGCGGCAGAACCCCGTCTTCTGTCATGCGTTTTGCTGGTTGGCAACGACGCATCCTTCAGCTCAGGGTATGGCCGCGCTTCCCACTCCGCCGTGTGATATGTCATCGTCGTCTTATCGAACCAGGCAGCCAACAGGCAGCACCCGACCAGACAGCCAACATGGATTTATTCCCTGACCAGACAGCACGCAGGCATTCCCTTACCAGACAGCCAACAGGCATCACCCAGCCAGACAGTTAACAGGCATTCATTCCTTTACCAGACAGCACACGGCCATTGCCTGACCAGACAGCTCGCAGGCATTCCCGCACCAGACGGCCGACAGGCATTCCCTTACCAGACAGCACACGGGCACTCCATCACGAGACAGCACGCAGGCATTCCTTGGCCGTTCTTGCGTGCCTCCTGCGCTCCAGCGGTCACCTGCCCCGCTTCCGTCGGCAATGGGGGCCGGGCCGGGGAGAAGGGAAGACGCAGGAGGAGCAGGCAGAGGAGGAGGAGGAGGAGGAGGAGGAGGAGGAGGAGGAGGAGGAGGGGCAAGCACGGTGGGAGGAGGGCATGAGAAGGAGGAGAAGGAGGAGGAGGAGGAGGAGGAAGAGGAGGAGGAGGAGGAGGAGGAGGAGGAAGAGGAGAGAGGAGGAGGTAGAGGAGGTAGAGGAGGAGGAGGAGGAGGAGGAGGAGGAGGAGGAGGAGGAGGAGGAGAGGAGGAGGAGGAGGAGGAAGGAGGAAGGAGGAAGGAGGAAGGAGGAAGGAGGAACGAGGAAGGACGTGGAGGAGGAGGAGGAGGCGAAGGAGGACGAGGAGGAGGAAGAGGAGGAGGAAGAGGAGGAGGAGGAGGAGAGTAATGATGATGCCGATGGTGATCATGATGATGACGATGATGAAGATGAGGATGGGGATGGCGATGCCGACGAGTTTGATGATGCTGACGATGCTGAGGCTGCTGATGACAATGCTGCTGCTGATGATAATGACGCTGATGAGGACGATGATGCTGATGCTGCTGCTGATGATGATGTTGATGATGCTTATGGTGATGAGGATGTGGATGATGTTGATGATGCTCATGATGATGCTGATGCCGATGAAGATGGCGACGGCGATGACGATGCTGACGATGACGATGACGATGATCCTGATAATGTTGATGATAATGATGCGGAGCAGGAGGAAGAAGAGGATGATGAGGAGGATGCGGAGGATGAAAAGTAGGGGAATGACGAAGAGGAGCGGTGATGCTGTGACGGGAGGCTGGATGGACAGAGACGTGTGTTGGAGGGGTGGTAGCCGGATGGATGATGGATGGGGAAGGGGTGGGGGAGGGCGGGAGGCATGGATGGAGACGTCGTGCAGGGATGAGGTTGGTTGGAGGGAGGCGCTCATGCCGTATTGATGGAGGGGTGGTGCGCAACTAGATGGGGCGGGAGGTGGACAGAGGGGTGGAGAGAGGCTGGATGGAGGGATGGGTCTGGATGGAGTCACGGGCCAGAGGAGGAAGGAACGAGGAGGAGGAGGATGAGGAGGATGATGCTGCTGATGATGATGAGGAGGAGGAGGAGGAGGGGAAGGATGATGATGATGATGAGGAGGAGGAGGAGGAAGATGAAAGGGAGGAGGAGGAGAATGAGGAGGAGGAAGGGATAGGGCGGAGGAGGGAGGGAAGGCGACGAGGAGAAGCAGGAAGGGGAGGACGAGGAAGAAAAGGACAGAATCGGCCCGGTTGCGATGAACGGAAGCTTGATAGACGGAGGGATGCTTGGAAGGATGAGGGTGGATGGGAGTAGAAAGGATGAAGGCTGCATAGAAAAAATGTGGATGGGTGCTGGATGGAAGGAGTGATGATGATGATGAGGAGGAGGAGGAGGAGCAGGAGGAGGAGGAGGAGGATAACGAGGAGCATGCAGGAGGAGGGGGAAGAGGGGGAGGCTGGGGAATAGGAGCGGGATGGGGAGATGGGCATCAAGGGTCAGAAGCGTACGATGAGGACCTTCGTAGTCAGAATTCTCGTTCCCCGAATTTGTCACGTTGATTGTGACGCGGCTTGTAGATATCCTACCCCGAATCAAACTTTCTAGTCGGTTTTGGAGGTCGCCGCGGCAGTCGCCGCGGCCATACCTCGGGGCAAGTTTTTGTTGTCGAGAAGTGGCATGCCCCTGCACAGCTTCCTCCTCCCCCCCCCCGCTCTGCGATGTACAGTGGAGACCCATGCCAAGAAATACCCTGCTTGCCTCCAGGGTGCCCTAGGTTTCTTTGGTTTCGACGGCTTTGCTGTGGAGAAACAAAAAGCAATGGACGTCCTGGGGTCTCAGTGTTGGGTCTCTTGTGGAGGGTCTCTTGTGGACCGGGCTCCATTGCAGCAGTGGCCCATCATTGACCATCCAGCGACAGAGAGTTGTCCACTGATGTCCAACATTGGCAGCCCTGGGGTCTGGGTTCGATTCTCACGCCACCACGAGGGGCTCCATCAACTCCCTGTGCACGTCGTCGTACGCCGCGGGGGGGGGCGCCTGCCCCGAGGCCGCGAACTGGGCGGAGGCCAAAAGGGGTGGACAGCCCAGGCAGAAGAGGAAGAGCAGGTTGGAAAGCAGCAAGTGAAGTGGGCGACGAAGAAGAACGGGTTCAACCGACAAAGGATACAAACGCCATGAACATTTTTTCGCTCCGCGCGGAGTCCTTGGATCCGCGCTGGGCCCCCCCAACGCCGCCCCTGGCGCGCTCCGCGCGCCAGCGAGAGGGGTCCAGCGCAGATCCAAGAAGTCCGCGCGGAGCGCCAACAGTTTATGGTGTTTTGTTCTTCTATTGCGAAGGCCTTACGGCCAGTGCCACCGATCCTGAATGGCGACGACGACGACGACGATATGGCGTTTGCTTCTCCTATTCAACTCGCGCGTTCGCTGCCCGCGTAAGGTCGCGCGTGAGCGCCCTCTTCTCCACGACGCGTGTGCCACGCTGGTGGTGCCCGCGTAAGCCGCGGCGCGCAAGGTCGCTGCGTTGTCTCGCGCAAGACCCGTTTCTTCTTGTCGTCGCTTCTACAAGGGGGGGCCGTGCCAAGAAACACCCTGCTTGCCTCCAGGGTGCCCTGGGTTTCTTGGGTTTCGATGGTTCTGCGATGGAAAGCGTGACCTCCGCACAGCAAACATCAAGGGACGTCCTGGGGTCTCAGTGCTGGCCTCCACTGTATGAGCTCTCAGAGGTCCGCGCGGATTTCGTGGATCAGCGCTGGACCCCCCCTCTCTGGCGCGCGGAGGTCGCCAGGGGCGGCGCCAGAAGCATCGCCAGGGTGTCAGCGCCGATCCGAGAGATCCCCGCGGACCTCCGAACGTCGACGACCTTCTGAAGTTTTTTCTTCTTTTTCTTCTTCTTATTCTTCTTGTTCTTCTACCAGGGGCGGGCATCACACGGTCTCGCTGTCGAGCCTCGTCGAACCCTTGCGGGTCCAACCGCCGTCGGGGGATCGGACACCCCCCGCTGGGGTTCCCTCGGCTGCAGACGCCGCTCGGATTCGAACCCCCGGCCGGCTGTCCAGAAGTCCGACTTGCAGGGGCAGGGCTCGCGCGCGGATGCTTCCCTGGATGCCTGCGCCCCGAGGAAGATCCCGGAGGCCTCGCGCGGCGCGCCATCGTTGTATTACCTAGTCCACACGTCCGCCCCGTCAGAGATGGAACGACGTTCGCGCGGCCCCGTCGTAAGTCCGACGTACATCCGACGCGGATCCGACGTGAATCCGACTCACCGCGACGTGAAGCCGACGCGGATCTGGCGTGGGTCCGACGCAGATTGGGCCTCGAGTTGTTGCGCGAGGCCTCCAAGATGTTCCTCAGAACATGTGGTACCCCCCCTCCTTCACCGGTTTAGTCCGACACAGTCCCGCTAAATTGCGCTTAACCCCGCTTGATCCGTAATCATGGGCTTCATCTGACCTAAGTTGGTTCGGTGGCCCAGTAATCGGGCCTTATAGCCAGCAACCACCCTTTACGAAGATCTCCCATGAGCTACCTCCCACACCCCTTCTCGCAATCAAACGCAAGTTTTTCCCACGACGTGGCACGCCCCCAGACCCCCAACTTCAACGTTGGCGCCGAAACTGGTGACTGCAATTTTTCTGTTGACCCCGCGAGCCGCGCTGCGCGCGTCCATCGACTTTGAAATTCAGGCGCGAGGGGGCTGGATAATGCTTGCGTTCGATTTCACGGAGGGTTGTACCCCCCCCCCTTGGGCCGTGTCTCTAGGCCTCCTAGATGGGGTCCGAGTAGATGGGGTCGGAGGAGCGCGCCGCAGCGCCGACGCATCGCCGATGCGGCCCGATGCGGAGCCCGATTTTCTTCACGCCGACGTCGCCGGTGCATCGCGGACGTGGCTGGTGCACCTCCGATGCCTCGCCGATGCATCGGCGATGCGGCGCGGCCCTCCGAGAGGCCGCCCGCTAGGACCCCGGCAGGGAGGCCTCGCCCGCCCCTTTCTGCAGCGCCGTGCGAGGAGTCCGCGCCGGCGCGGCCCCCGTTGCGGAAGCGGCCGCCGGCGGGCTCGGGCGGCCTCGGCCTCACGGGGGCGCTGCTGGGCGTGTTCCAGGCGGCGTGCTGCCCGTCGGGCCTGATAGGCCGGTCGGGGCTCGGCCCAGCAATGCGAAGTGTGGCTACTGATGTGCATCCCTCCGCGAAGTTCCAGGCTCCCCAGATGGGGTCGGAGCAGACGGGGTCGGGGGATCGCGCCACATCGCCGATGCATCGCCAATGCGGCTCGAACTGGAGCCCTGCTTCACGTCGACGTCGACGATGCATCGCCGACGTCGACGATGCTTCGCCGGTGCATCGCCGATACATCGCCAATGTGCCGACGATGCGACGCGATCTGCCGACCCCATCTACTCCGACCCCATCCAGGAGGCCTCTAGAGTTAAGTCGGGCCGGTCCCTCTACAGGCGGAATATTCGAGGGTATTCAAAAAATCATTCCCAACCATCCTGTGGTGTTCGGTCCTCGTTTTGAAGAGACGGTCCCCGCGTTCTCCCCTCCTCCTCCTCTGCCCCCTCCTCCTCTCCACCGTCTCCTCCCTCTTCCATTTCGGCACACCCCTCACACGCTTCGTGGCCCCATAGGGAGCTCCACCGAGGGCTCCAGTGGCTGCGCTCGCATGGCGGCACCGCGCCCATTTCGGCACACCCCTCACACGTTTCGTGGCCCCATAGGGAGCTCCACCGAGGGCCCCAGTGGCTGCGTTCGCATGGCGGCACCGCACCCATTTCGGCACACCCCTCACGCGCTTCGTGGCCCCTGAGGGAGCTCCACCGAAGGCCCCAGTGGCTGCGTTCGCATGGCGGCACCGCACCCATTTCGGCACACCCCTCACACGTTTCGTGGCCCCATAGGGAACTCCACCGAGGGCTCCAGTGACTGCGTTCGCATGGCGGCACCGCGCCCATTTCGGCACACCCCTCACAGGTTTCGTTGCCCCTGAGGGAGCTCCACCGAAGGCCCCAATGGCTGCGTTCGCATGGCGACACCGCACCGGCACACCCCTCACGCGTTTCGTGGCCCCTGAGGGAGCTCCACCGAGGGCCCCAGTGGCTGCGTTCGCATGGCGGCACCGCGCCCATTCGGCACACCCCTCACACGTTTTCGTTGAGCTCCACCGAGGGCAGTGGCTGGTTTTCGCATGGCGGCACGCCCATTTGGCACACGCGTGGCCCCATAGGAAGCTCGACCGAAGGCCCCAGTGGCTGCGTTCGCATGGCGGCACCGCACCCATGTCGGCACACCCCTCACGCGTTCGTGGCCCCTGAGGAGCTCCACCGAGGGCCCCCGTGGCTGCGTTCGCATGGCGGCACCGCACCCATTTCGGCACACCCCTCACACGTTTCGTGGCCCCATAGGCAGCTCCACCGAGGGCTCCAGTGGCTGCGTTCGCATGGCGGCACCGCGCCCATTTCGGCACACCCCTCACCCGGTTCGTGGCCCCTGAGGGAGCTCCACCGAGGGCCCCAGAGGCTGCGTTCGCATTGCGGCACCGCACCCATTTCGGCACACCCCTCACACGTTTCGTTGCCCCTGAGGGAGCTCCACCGAGGGCTCCAATGGCTGCGTTTGCATGGCGGCACCGCACCCATTTCGGCACACCCCTCACACGTTTCGTGGCCCCATAGGCAGCTCCACCGAGGGCTCCAGTGGCTGCGTTCGCATGGCGGCACCGCGCCCATTTCGGGACACCCCTCACACGTTTCGTGGCCCCATAGGTCCGCTCCACCGAAGGCCCCAGTGGCTGCGTCCGCATGGCGGCACCGCGCCCATTTCGGCACACCCCTCACACGTTTCGTGGCCCCATAGGGAGCTCCACCGAAGGCCCCAGTGGCTGCGTTCGCATGCGGCACCGCCCATTTCGGCACACCCCTCACACGTTTCGTGGCCCCATAGGGAGCTCCACCGAAGGCCCCAGTGGCTGCGTTCGCATGGCGGCACCGCACCAATTTCGGCACACTCCTCACACGTTTCGTGGCCCCTTAGGGAGTTCCCTCTCATTCGTTCAACCTGCTTTGCGGTACTCGTAACTGCATATGGTCGGGTCCATCGCCAGGATAAATTTGTTTTGTTTGTTTGTTTATGTTTTCTGGTTTTCTGCCACAATCCGCCTGTAGGAGGACATGCCCGACCTAAGCCTGGAGCCTAGAAGTCAGATGCCAGCTGTTTCCCGCGGCGTGGCTCGCGCTGCCCGCGTCGCGGAACACAGAAATGGAGAGGGGTGGATATAAACTGAAAATTTGCATTTGATTTCGAGGAGGGATGATGGAGGAGGAGGAGGAGGAAAAGGAGGAGGAGGAGGAGGAGGAGGAGGAGGAGGAGGAGAGGAGGATGTCCCATGGTAATCTCAGCTTCCCCGTGGAGGCGCAGAGGGCTTCCGGAGCATTCCTCACGAGGCCCAAGAGGGCCCTAGAGGCCCCAGAGTGGCGCGAAAAGTTGGGGGCACCGTGGGCCAGGGCACCTTGAAGCAGCTCCCGACCACTGCTCCAGGCCGCCCAAGTAGGGTTACGTCGGGCATATCCCTCTGCAGGGGGGATATTCAGGACTGGTAGCGAAAAATAGTCTCGTGACGATTTGTCGTGCTCTCTTGACTATTTCCGATTATTGTTTGACTGCCGTTTGTTTTTCTTCCACAATCCGCTTGCAGAGGACATGCCCGACCTAAAAATAGGATCGAGGTAGACGGGGGGGGATCGCGCCGCATTGGAAATTAGATGGTAGACGGGGGGGATATAGTTAGGCCTCCTTGATGAAGTCCGAGTAGATGGGGTCAGAGGATCGCGCCGCATCGCCGATGCATCGGCGATGCATTGGCGATGTATCGGCGATGCAACGGCGATGCACTGGCGATGCATCGCCGACGTCGGCGACGTATCGCCAGCGCCGGCGTGGACGGCCTCCGCATCGAGCCGCATCGCCGATGCATCGGCGATGCGGCGCGATCCTCCGACCCCATCTAGGAGGCTTAGAATTAAGTCGGGCTGGTCCCTCTACAGGCGGAATATTCGAGAATAGTCAGAATATAGTATGGGGACGATTTTTCCAATACTTGTTTCGATTATTTTTTTTGAGTATTATTTATTTCTTGGGTTTTCGGCCAAAATCCGCCTGCAGGAGGACATGCCCGACCTAAGCCTAGAGCCCTTGGGTCACCCGCAGGCGTCGGCTTCATCGTTAGGCTGCCGGCGGTGGACCTGGCCGCCTTCTGCGCGTCCTTCGCCGCAGTGTCCGTGCTGGGCACGGGTGGGCTGGCCCTGGGCTGGGCGCTCCTCGCGAGCACCGCGGCTTGCAGCAGCTTGTCGGCCAAGGCGCTGCACCGTGTCCTCATCCTCGTCCTATTTGACATGGCCTCCTCCTCCTCCTTCCTCCCGTCCTCCCGTCCTCCTCCCCCCCGTCCTGATTCTCTTTCCCCCGTCCTCCCCCTCAACCTCCTCCTCCTCCTCCTCCTCCTCCTCCTCCTCCTCGTCCTCCTTCTCCCCCCTCCCTCCTCCCCCTGCTCCTGGAACCCCCTCAACTTCCTCCGAGCCTTCTCCTCCTCCTCCTACTCCTCCTTCTCCTCCTCCACGTAAAACCGTTCAAAGCCCATGAACCCTCCACCCCCTCGTCTTACAAACCCACTGGAATCCCCAAGAGCCCCCTGATCCCCCTCCTCTTCTATTCCTCCTCTTCTCACCCCTCTTCATCATCATCATTCTAGAACCTCTTTACAACATCTAAACCCTCCTCGCCTTCCCATCCTTCTTATCAGACCTCGAGGCGCTGTACCGCGCAAGCTGCGGCCTCACGTTTGCTCTGGGCGTGGCCTGGATCGCTATGACCTTCCACGGTGCAACCCTGGAGTTCGTCCACGCGGCGTGACCCCCGATAGAGAGAAACCGGTACCGCCCTTACAGCTTCCTCTTCTTCCCCCCTCATCTCCCTCCCATTCCTCCTTCGTCTTTTCTTCTTCTTATCCTCCTGCTCCTGTTCCTCCCCCTCCTCTTCCTCCTCCTCGTCCTCCTCCTCCTCTTCCTCCTCTCCCTCCTTCCTCGTCCTCCTTGCCCGTTCTCCTCCGTCCTCTCCCTCCCCTTCCACCTCATCCTCCTCTTCCTCTTCATTTTCCTCCCATCACAGCGTGCTTAGCAGGGAACTCCTCCTCCTCCTCCTCGTCCTCCATCCCTGTTCCTTATAACTAACTCCTCCCTGTCGCACCCCGAGGCATGTCGGTAGAGCAGGCAGGACGTTTCTTCCAAGACTTATTCGCCTTTTGCGGTCTTTAAGCTCAGAAGTTGCAGCAGCTTCACGGATGGAGGGCGTTTTGTTTTCAAAATGTGGTTATGGTTTTACCGCCGCGCACATTCGTCTTAAGACTTTGCAAGATGCTCACAGATGAGGGGTTGGTGGTTTTCAACATGTGGTTCTCGCTTTGGCCCCGCGCGCATTCGTCCTATTTTGTTGCAGGAGCTTCACGGATGGAAGGCGGGTGAGTTCCAAATTGTGATTTTCGCTTTAGCGTCGCGCACACTCGCTTTAAATGTTGCAGGGGTGTCGCGGATGGAGTGCGTGTTGTTTTTCCCAACCATCTTGTGGTGTTGGCTCTTCGTTTTGAACAGAGGGTCCCCGCGTTCTCCTCTCCTCCTCTGCCCCCTCCTCTCCACCGTCCGCATGCGTCCCGCACACCCAGTACAGCGTTTCGTGGCCATCCTCCCCTCCCCACCCATTACAGACGTTTCGTGGCCCCATAGGGAGCCCCACCGAAGGTTCCAGTGCTACCGTCCGCATGCCTCCCGCGCACCCAGTACAGCGTTTCGTGGCCCCATAGGGAGCTCCACCGAAGGTCCCAGTGCTACCGTCCGCATGCGTCCCGCACACCCAGTACAGCGTTTCGTGGCCCTCTCCTCCTCCTCCTCCTCCTCCTCCTCCTCCTCCTCCTCCTCTCCTCCGCCTCCTCCCTGCGTTTCACCCATCCTGTACAACGCTTCGTGGCCCCATAGGGAGCCCCACCGAAGGTCCCAGTGCTACCGTCTGCATGCGTCTCGCTCACCCAGTACAGCGCTTCGTGGCCCCATAGGGAGCTCCACTGAAAGACCCAGTGCTACCGTCCGCATGCGTCCCGCACACCCAGTACAGCGTTTCGTGGCCCTCCTCCCCCTCCTCCCTGCGTTTCACCCACCCAGTTCGGCGCTTCGTGCCCCCATAGGGAGCCCCACCGAAGGTCCCAGTGCTACCGTCCGCATGCGTCCTGCACACCCAGTACAGCGTTTCGTGGCCTCCTCCTCCCTCCTCCTCCTCCTCCTCCTCCTCCTCCTCTCCTCTCTCCTCCCTGCGTTTCACCCACCCTGTACAGCGCTTCGTGGCCCCATAGGGAGCCCCACCGAAGGTCCCAGTGCTACCGTTTGCATGCGTCTCGCACACCCAGTACAGCGTTTCGTGGCCCGATAGGGAGCTCCACTGAAAGACCCAGTGCTACCGTCCGCATGCGTCCCGCACACCCAGTACAGCGTTTCGTGGCCCTCCTCCCCCTCCTCCCTGCGTTTCACCCACCCAGTACGTCGCTTCGTGGCCCCATAGGGAGCCCCACCGAAGGTCCCAGTGCTACCGTCTGCATGCGTCCCGCACATCCAGGACAGCGTTTCGTGGCCCCATAAGGACCGAAGGTCCCAGCGCTACCGTCCGCATGCGTCCCGCACACCCAGTACAGCGTTTCGTGGCCCTCCTCCCCCTCCTCCCTGCGTTTCACCCACCCAGTACAGCGCTTCGTGGCCCCATAGGGAGCCCCACCGAAGGTCCCAGCGCTACCGTCCGCATGCGTCCCGCACACCCAGTACATCGCTTCGTGGCCCCATAGGGACCGAAGGTCCCAGCGCTACCGTCCGCATGCGTCCCGCACACCCAGTACAGCGTCTCGTGGCCCTCCTCCCCCTCCTCCCTGCGTTTCATCCCGCCAGTACAGTGTTTCGTGGCCCCATAAGGGGCCCCACCGAAGGTCCCAGTTCTACCGTCCGCATGCGTCCCGCACACCCAGTACAGCGCTTCGTGGCCCCATAGGGAGCTCCACCGAAGGTCCAAATGCTACCGTCCGCATGCGTCCCGCACACCCAGTACAGCGTCTCGTGGCCCTCCTCCCCCTCCTCCCTGCGTTTCACCCACCCTGTACAGCGCTTCGTGGCCCCATAGGGAGCCCCACTGAAGGTCCCAGTGCTACCGTCCGCATGCGTCCCGCACGCTCAGTACAGCGTTTCGTGGCCTCGTAGGGAGCCCCACCGAAGGTCCCAGCGCTACCACCCGCATGCGTCCCGCGCACCCAGTACAGCGGTTCGTGGCCCTCCCCCTCCTCCCTGCGCTTCGCCCATCCACTACAGCGTTTCGTGGCCCCATGGGGAGCCCCACCGAAGGTCCCAGTGCTACCGTCCGCATGCGTCATAGCACGCCCAGTGCAGCGTTTCGTTGCCCCAGAGGGAGCCCCACGGAAGTCCCAGCGCTACCGTCCGCATGCGTCCCGCACACCCAGTACAGCGTTTCGTGGCCCCATAGGGAACCCCACCGAAGGCCCCAGTGCCCCCGTCCGCATGCGCCCCGGAAACACAATTTGGCATTTTCACCCACCCAGTGCAGCGCTTCGTGGCCCCATAGGGGGCTCAACCCACGACCACATGGACAAACACCACGGGATCGTGGAAGGACCAATAGGCCGCAGAAGAGTTGCAGAGGACCCTTTACAGACAAGCTGCTCAGGGACAAACCAAACTTCTGCTTACTCTCGTCACGTGATTGTGCTTTCTCCCCCTCCTCCTCCTCTTTCTCCTCCTCCGCCTCCTCTTCCTCCTTCTCCGCCTCCTCCTCCTCCTCCTCCTCCTCCTCCTCCTCCTCCTCCTCCTCCGCAGTCGCGGACACCCGGGGCTGCCATTAAGCGCAGCGGCCGTGGCATCCACTTCTTCGACACGCCCCGGCGCTGAGAGGCCGCCCACAAAGCGGCGGCCGAATGCGGCATCCGCCTCCTCCCAAAAACGTCGCCAAGAGCAGGAGTGGCAGAAGGAGGAGAGTGAGGGAGGAGGGCCGTCTCCCCCGTCCCATCTCTTTGCCCGTCCGTCCTCCCTCGTTCCCCATTTGCCCACCCCCCCACCGATCACCCCGTCTACAGTGACTCGACGGTCACAGTATCAGTACTGCCCTCCTCGCTACCCTGATACTGCGCAAGCGTGCCAGCGCCTCCTCCGCATTCTCTACACACATATATACATATATATATATATATGTATATATGTATATGTATATATACATACATTTATATGTACACACACACATATATATATGTATATATGAAAAGGCTGCAGTGGCGCTTCGCGCCATGCACCTGGGTCCTTGAAGTTCGGTATGCAGACGGAATGGCAGGAAGGTCAAGCCGACAATTCAGCGATAACTCCTTGTTGCCTTTTCTGGCATCGCCGTTATCATAATGTGATTCGTTATCCTTCCTCCATGCTTCTTTTTCGTCATTCTCGCTATACCCTGCGCGTTCTCCTCATCCTCCTCAGTTTTTTTTTGCGGAGGCTCATCCTTGGAGAGCCTCTCGGGGCTTCACACAAGTTTTTCAGGATTTCTTAAGGCCTTTTGGAGGCCTCCTGGGCGTGTTCTGGGGTCCTCTGGGGGCTTCCTCGGGCCAACCTGCCTCCATCCGCAGTCTCCCTGAATGACCGGCTCACGATTTAGAATGCTTCGGAGCGTGTCTTGGAGCCATCTTGGGCCGCCATGGGGCTCTCTTAGGGCCATCTTGGACCCCTGTTGTGCCGTTTTGGTGCTCTCTTGGACTGCCTGGAAGCCCTTTTGGATAGTTAAGACCGCCGTCTTGGAGCGTGGGGAAGACGAAAAGAGGATAACCCCAAAATTAATCAAAAACCAACAACAAATCAATGATTTTTGCCTCTTGAGTCCTTCTTGGGAGAGCTCTTGGAGGCCTCTTGGGACGTTTCGGAGCGATCTTTGGGGGTATGACGACTTTTTAGGGGTCGTCGTGGACCGTATTGGTGCTTTCTGGAGTCGTTTCGGGAGCGCGCCGGAACGCCTGGAACCCGTCTGGGGCCGACTTCGGGCTCTCGCGAGGTTCTCTCGGGTCGCCTGAAGGGTTGCCCACAGGCTCGTGGAGGGCCAAATTCGTTAGGGGGGGGTCGCTTTTTCTGGCGTCCTCAGCCCTATAAAAATATATGAGCAGGAATGTGTGTGTATATATATATATATATATATATATATATGTCGTAGGTTGGGGGGCGAGGTCGAAGTCTAACGGAGAGCCACCCACTGGGAAATCGGTTTCGGTTTCGTGTTCGTGCGTGCCGTGCGTGCGGGCGAGGCGAAGCTGCGTGGGCGGGCGAGAGAAGTCTCCTGTGGCTGAGGCGCGGCCAGACCAAATGCTTCTCCCTCGGGCAAGCGGTGGCCCGCGGTGTCCCGCAGGTGTCTCGCTGGTGTCCCGCTTGTGGCTGGGTCCCGGCTGGACCAAATGATTCTCCCTCCGGCAAACGGGGGCCCGCGATGTCCCGCCGGTGTCCCGCCCATGTCCCGCCGGTGTCCCGCCAGTGTCCCGGTGTCCCGCTGGTGCGAAAACGATAGTGAGACCGATGACGAAATCGATTGTGAGATCGATAGTGAGATCGATAGTGAGACTGATAGTGAGATCGATCGTGAGATCGATAGTGAGATCGATAGTGAGATGAATAGTGATATCGATTGTGAGATCGAGTGACATCGATAGGGATATCGATAGTGGGATCGATAGCGAGATCCAGAGTGAGATCGACAGTGAAATCGATCGAGTGAGATCGATAGTGGGATCGATTGAGTGAGATCGATAGTGGGATCGATGGTCCCAAGTGCGAGCGGCAACG